TCTCTATGGGATCTCTATGGGGTCTGTATGGAGCACTTATGGGGCACGTATGGGGTCTCTATGGGGTCTCTATGGGGCACTTGTGGGGCACTTATGGGGTCACTTATGGGGCACTTGTGGAGTCTCTATGGGGCACTTATGGGGCACTTGTGGGGCACTTATGGGGTCTCTATGGGGTCCCTATGGGGCACTTATGGGGCAGTTATGGGGCATTTGTGGGATCTCTATGGGGTCCCTATGGGGTCTCTGTGGGGCACTTGTGGGGTCTCTATGGGGCACTTATGGGGTCACTTATGGGGCATTTATGGGGTCTCTATGGAGCACCTATGGGGCACTTATGGGGCACTTGTGGGGCACTTGTGGGACACTTATGGGGTCACTTATGGGGTCTCTATGGGGCACTTATGGGGCACTTGTGGGGCACTTATGGGGCACTTATGGGATCTCTATGGAGCACCTATGGGGCACTTGTGGGGCACTTATGGGGTCTCTATGGGGCATTTATGGGGTCACTTATGGGGCACTTATGGAGTCTCTATGGGGCACTTATGGGGCACTTGTGGGGCACTTGTGGGGTCTTTATGGGGCACTTATGGGGCACTTGTGGGGCACTTATGGGGTCTCTATGGGGTCCTTATGGGGCACTTGTGGGGCACTTGTGGGGTCTTTATGGGGCACTTATGGGGCACTTATGGGGCACTTATGGGGCACTTGTGGGGCAGGCGCAGCCGCCGGCTCGCTGCTGTCCGGCAGCCGCTTTGCGTTGGACCCGGAGCTCCGTGGGGAGGAATTTGAGCGGCTGACCCAAAAACTGGATGTGGGGTTTTGGAAGAGTTTCTGGAACCTGACCGAGAGCCAGCTGCTGGCGGTGAGCAGCTGCCCCAAGTGACCAAAATCGCCGGAATTCAACCCAAAATTCTGCCCCAAACGGGTGGGAGAATGCTGCCCCTAAATGACCCTAAAAGGACCCCAAAATGACCCCAAAATGGCCCCAAAATGGCTGTGGGATGTGACTGAGGGCAGCCCAGCACTGAAATGACCCCAAATCTGCCCCAAGTGACCCGAAATCGCCTCAATTCAACCCAAAATTCAGCCCCAAATGGAAGGGAAAATGGTGCTACAAATGGCCCCAAAATTACCCCAAAATGGCCCCAAAATGGCCCCAAAATGGCCCCAGAATGGCCCCAAAATGGCTGTGGGATGTGACTGAGGGCAGCCCTGAAATGACCCCAAATCTGCCCCAAATGGACCAAAATTGGATGAATTTCACCCAAAATTCAGCCCCAAATGGATGGGAGAATGGTGCCCCAAAATGACCCTAAAAGGACCCTAAAATGGCCCCAAAATGGACCTCCTGTATGGGGTTATGGGGTTCCTATATGGGATTACGGGATTCCTCTGTGGGATTATGGGGCTTCTATCTCCTGTATGGGATTATGGGGTTCCTATATGGGATTATGGGGTTCCTTTATGGTATTATGGGGTTCCTGTATGGGATTATGGGGTCCTTTTGTGGGATTATGGGGTTCATGTATGGGATTATGGGGTTCCTATGTGGGATTATGGGGTTCCTTTGTGGGATTATGGGGTTCCTGTATGGGATTATGGGGTTCCCAAATGGGATTATGGGGTTCCTATATGGGATTATGCTTTTTCTATCTCCTGTATGGGGTTATGGGGTTCCTATATGGGATTATGGGGTTCCTGTATGGGATTACGGGATTCCTCTGTGGGATTATGGGGGTTCCTATATGGGATTACGGGATTCCTCTGTGGGATTATGGAGCTTCTATCTCCTGTATGGGATTATGGGTTCCTTTGTGGGATTATGGGGTCCTTTGTGGGATTATGGGGTTCCCAAATGGGATTATGGGGTTCCTTTGTGGGATTATGGGGTCCTTTGTGGGATTATGGGCGTTTCTCTATGGGATTATGGGGTTCCTATATGGGATTACGGGATTCCTCTGTGGGATTATGGGGCTTCTATCTCCTGTATGGGATTATGGGGTTCATTTGTGGGATTATGGGCGTTTCTCTATGGGATTATGGGGTTCCTATGTGGGATTATGGGTTTTCTGTCTCCTGTATGGGATTATGGGGTCCTTTGTGGGATTATGGGGTTCCTGTATGGGATTATGGGGTTCCTCTGTGGGATTATGGGGTTCCTGTATGGGATTATGGGGTGCCTTTATGGGATTATGGGGTTCCTGTATGGGATTATGGGGTTCCTTTATGGGATTATGGGGTTCCTTTATGGGATTATGGGGTTCCTTTGTGGGATTATGGGGTCCTTTGTGGGATTATGGGGTTCCTAAGTGGGATTATGGGGTTCCTATATGGGATTATGGGGTTCCTATATGGGATTATGGGTGTTCTATCTCCTATATGGGATTATGGGGCTCCTATACGGGATTATGGGGTTCTTATATGGGATTATGGGTATTCTATCTCCCATGTGGGATTATGGGGATCCTACATGGGATTATGGGGTTCCTATATGGGATTACGGGTGTTCTATCTCCTACATGGGATTATGGGGTTCCTGTACGGGATTATGGGGTTCCTATATGGGATTATGGGTTTCCTATATGGGATTACGGGTGTTGTATCTCCTATACGGGATTATGAGGTTCCTGTATGGGATTATGGGTGTTCTATCTCCTTCATGGGATTACAGGATTCCTATACGGGATTATGGGGTTCTTATATGGGATTATGGGTTTTCTATCTCCCATGTGGGATTATGGGGATCCTATATGGGTTTATGGGGTTCCTATATGGGATTATGGGTGTTCTATCTCCTTCATGGGATTATGGGGCTCCTATACGGGATTATGGGGTTCCTATATGGGATTATGGGTTTTCTATCTCCCATGTGGGATTATGGGGATCCTATATGGGATTATGGGGTTCCTATATGGGATTACGGATGTTGTATCTCCTATATGGGATTATGGGGTTCCTATACGGGATTACGGCTGTTCTATCTCCTTCATAGGATTATGGGGTTCCTATACGGGATTACGGCTGTTCTATCTCCTTCATAGGATTATGGGGTTCCTATATGGGATTACAGGATTCCTATACAGGATTATGGGGTTCCTATATGGGATTATGGGTGTTCTATCTCCTATATGGGATTATGGGGTTCCTATATGGGATTACAGGTCTTCTATGTCCTTCATGGGATTATGGGGTTCCTATATGGGATTATGGGTGTTCTATCTCCTATATGGGATTACGGGGTTCCTATATGGGATTACGGCTGTTCTATCTCCTTCATGGGATTACGGGGTTCCTATATGGGATTAATGGTATTCTATCTCCTATATGGGATTACGGGGTTCCTATATGGGATTAATGGTATTCTATCTCCTTCATGGGATTATGGGGTTCCTATATGGGATTACAGGATTCCTATACAGGATAATGGGGTTCCTATATGGGGTTACGGTTGTTCTATCTCCTATATGGGATTGTGGGGTTCCTATATGGGTTTATGGGTGTTCTATCTCCTATATGGGATTATGGGGTTCCTATATGGGATTATGGGTATTCTATCTTCTTCATAGGATTATGGCATTCCTATATGGGATTACAGGATTCCTATATAGGATTATGGGGTTCCTATATGGGATTATGGGTGTTCTATCTCCTATATGGGATTGTGGGGTTCCTATATGGGATTATGGTTGTTCTATCTCCTATATGGGATTATGGGGTTCCTATATGGGATTACAGGTCTTCTATCTTCTTCATAGGATTATGGGGTTCCTATATGGGATTACGGGATTCCTATATAGGGTTATGGGGTTCCTATATGGGATTACGGTTGTTCTATCTCCTATATGGGATTGTGGGGTTCCTATATGGGATTACGAGGTTCCCCCCGCCCCACACGGGGGTCCCTGACCCCAAATCCCCCCCCACAGTCGGTGGCGGCGGTGACGTCCCCCCCTGTGGGGTTGTGCCGGGTCCTGGCTGTTCCCCCCGACCCCATAGAGCTGCCCCAAGTGGGGGGCGACCCCGGAGCCACCGTCACCATCCCCCCCCCCGTGGCGCACACCGGGCCCGGGCCCGTCCATATGAGGCTGCTGTCCTACCAGCTGAGGGAGGGGCAGGTACGGCCCCGTAACTTGTGGGGTTTTTATGGGATTAGGGGGGTTTTATGGGATTAGAGGGTTATATGTGGGATTATGGGGTTATACATGGGATTATGGGGTTATATACAGGGATATGTGGGATTATATGGGATTATGTGGGGTGATTTGGGGCTGCTGTCCTACCAGCTGAGGGAGGGGCAGGTACGGCCCCATAACTTGTGGGGTTTTTATGGGATTATGGGGTTTTTATGGGATTAGAGGGTTATATGTGGGATTATGGGGTTATAAATGAGGTTCCAGATGGGATTATGTGGGTGATTTGGAGCTGCTGTCCTACCAGCTGCGAGAGGGGCAGGTCCGGCCCCATAACTTATGGGGTTTTTATGGGATTGTGGGGTTTTTATGGGATTATGGGGTTTTTATGGGATTAGGAGGTTATATGCGGGATTATCGGGTTATATGTGGGATTATGGGGTTATAAATGGGGTTCCAGATGGGATTATGTGGGTGATTTGGGGCTGCTGTCCTACCAGCTGTGAGAGGGGCAGGTACTGCCCCATAACTTGTGGGGTTTTTATGGGGTTATGGGGTTTTTATGGGATTTATTGCATTCTTATCTCCTATATTACTGATAACCCCCCACTCCCCCCTTTTCCCCCCTTTCCCCCCATTTTCTCCCCCTTTCCCCCCCCCAATATCCCAAATCCCCCCCTTTATCCCCCCATGCCCCCAAAACCCC